CCTGTGCTTTGGCTCAGTGGCCTTCAAGGCTGACCACTTTTACGAGCAGAAACCACAGTGGGAATGCACTCCTGTTAGATCTGTGCATTACTTCTGATCAGCAGCATCTCTGGAAATTTACACACAGGAATGAAAGTTTCCAGCCAAGTTACCAAGCTCCTGCAAAGCAAAAGCAGTTAATAAAAAACTTCACCATCCTTTGTAGGTGGCTGTGCCATATAGCCCTGCTCCAAAAGTGGGGCAGGGCTGCTGACCCATGGCCAGCACTCCCCACCAAGGCAGTTTTTGCAGGAAACCTGGAAATCCTTGGCCACAAAAGAGAGGGAGACCTTTGGAGTAACAATAAGGAGCAATCAGCAGCAAAATGGATCCTGGTGCTGGCATGAGGCAGCCCCTGTGCTGAGCCAGCCCCATCCTGGGGTCCCCCAGGCTGGAGGAGCCCCCAGCAGCAATGAACCTCTCAGGGGGGAACCAGTGCTGCTTGAAGTTTCACTGAGCTTTTGTAATTAATTAAGGTGCCATCACACACCAGCAGCTTGCACAGTTTACAAATCACCCTTTAATCATGTCTCTGGCCTTTCTCTTGACCACCATCTCAGCTGAGCCCCCTGCCCACCCCGAGGGCAGCAGGGCTCAGCCCTGCCTAGGAGATGCATTTCCCAGCCAGTTTGTCCCCGCTGGCTCCCACCATTCTGCTCACTCCCCGGCAGCAGCAACGAGCAGCTGGCACAAGGTGGGGTGGAAAAACCCTCCCGCAGAACAGGAGGAACATCTCAGTTAAACCAACATCTGCTGGGACCTGCACAGCATGAGGCCAAATCTTTCTCGCCTTCCTCATGCCCCACTGCTCTGTCTCTCCCTGCCACGCGCGTTTGGGATGCACTAAAGCTGGGGGGTTTAGTACTAATATCATCACACAGATAGGTAACAATTTGTCATACAGTTTTGTGGTTTGGGGTTCTTTTTTGGTGATGGACCTCACTGCCACAGTCAGTAAATGTCTATAATTTACTCACTGAGCTGCTGGAAGCCTTTTTTTTTTTTGGCTCTGAGATATTTTTGTTCCCTGTCAAAGGGAACTGCTCTGCAGCATCCTTGCCCTGGGGCAGGAGCTGTGCCCATGCTCAGGCAATTAAAACCAAGGGAAACCAAAGGGAGGGGGAAGGAGATGCAAAAGAAAAAGCTTGCAATTCAGCTGTGCAGGCCTTATCCTCCCAATAATTTTCAGGAGAAAAAAAATCATACCGAACTAATAGAGGAAAGGACAGCCCAGCTCAACCAGCCATCTGAGCAGTCAGGATTAGAAACTGGGGAGGAAAATCATCCCTGGGCTGTCTGGCAGCACCAGCACACCCAGGTAAGCTGCTGACAGCACAGCACTTGTCTTTGCAGGTCCCGTCCCTGCACATCCAGCAGCATATTTCAGGAAATAAGGAATAATAATACTAGGGAAAAAAAATAAATCAAAAGGCAAATGGCACAGGCAGGCCCATGTCTCCTGCCTGCCATGCCAGGGTCACTGCCTGGGGCTGAGCGCAATATTGTTTCTACAGACCAAGAAATGGGATAGAGGAAGGTAAAGGTAATTGTCACCAACAGACAATTATTTTGTTCACTCCCAGGCTACATCACACACTGCTCATGTTTACCCCAATTTTCATGCATTACAAAGGAAGATGTTCAGCTCCTAAAAAACTCAGCAACATAAAAGGACCCTCGGGCATCAATCTCTTGCAAGTGATAAGTGACGTGCAGGAGAGTTGTGGGAGAGTCGTGCCACTGCCAGGTTTCCCACTGCCTGCACCATATGGCAAGTCAGGACAGAGAAATTTGAGATAACAGGCAAATTAAGGGCTATGGGACAAGGAGTACAGAAAAATAAAATTTAAAAATTTGTCATGAAGAGCTGGAGCTCCTCCCAACCAACCAAAGTGTGGGACTGCCTGTGCCAAGAGAAAGGGCACATCCCATCTTCCATTGAGAACTGACCTCGCCAGATCTACTAGAAGTTCAATAAAGAGATGAAAACTCCTGCTATTTTCTGAATTTTATTTGATTACTGAGAAACAGAAGACACGAGCGAGGAGAGAGGGTTGTTTTTTCAGTGAGGACCTTGGAGCCTGGGGAGAAAGCTTGGGAGGTTGCAAAACAAAGCTCCTATTAACTTTGATCCTGACTTCCAGGTCACGCATGTTCAGTTCTTTTTACCTGGAAATTAAGATGTTAATTGGAGCTGACAGCTTTCATACATTTCCTCATTAGCAATATTTTTAGCCACAGTAGGGCCCAAGTCTTCAAACATTTTCCCAAGGAAAGGTTTTAACCTTTCTTTTGAAACATCTCATGCCACTTGCAGTTTAAAAAAAGAGCTTTTTTTGCCTTGAGGTGTACTGAGCCCCAGCCATGGTGAAATCTCAGTTCCTCTGAACAGGGCACACAGGAGGAACAGGGGAAAGAAACTGGGGAGAGGCAGCCTGGGTCCTGGAGTGGAGCTTGGCACCGTGTGGCAGCATCACCCAGCGGGGCAGCCGCCCCCCCGGCACCCTGACCCTCCCCGTCCCAGCGATGGGCTCTGGGCACAGCCGAGCCCAGGGGGTCTCTGCGGGGTGTGCTGGCTCCAGTCCCCAGTCACTGATCACCACCAGAGATGGGACCACCCCTCAGCACCAGAGCCTGGAACCAGGAGTCGGTCAGACCCACATCCCAGGCCACGTGGGTGTCCGACCCTGCTGTCCTCATGCCAGCACAGGACCCATCTATGGGTGACCTCCAGGGCAGTGATCAAAAGGGCTCCTCAAACCCTTTTTCTGCCAGAGATCAGATCCTACATGTTGGCGTTTTGTTAGCTGCTTGGATCCAAGAACATGTTTTTTTCAGAGCTGTTTTTTTTACATACCGTTATCATCTGTATGTAACTTACTGTTTTCAGATGAAGCAAAAGCCTTGAGAAACCACATTCGATGTTGTCTCCTGCCAAGGACTGAAAACTATGCAAGTTTCTTACTTTTCATATGTTTATATGGATAGTGTGTGTGTGTGTATATATATATAAAATCCCTTAAAAATAATATAATTTTATTCATATGTATTATCCATTTATGTATTTTTATATGAAAATATTTATATATATATAAAAATACATGATCATGGCTAACAGTATTTCCTTGCTTTAGAAACCTGCTCCAACACACATATTCCACTTACAACACCACTGTTACACCCCCCACGTTTTGCAGTCTCTCTCCAAGTGGAAACATATTTTAGCTGAAAGCTGTGCTAAAACCTCCCAGAGGAGCCTCAGTTATTTACCTCATTGTATTCAGTGTATGGCTCTGGAAAGTCTTAGTTTTGAAACTTTACATTTCTAAGATGGTGACATCAAGGGAGACCAGACAATTTGGAGGATACTTTTACTCATCTTTGCAGGCAGCAGCTGGGACAGGGCAGCCCAGGGCTGTCCCAGCTGCTTTGGTGCTTTGAGACCTTGGGGCTTTGGCAGCGTGGGGATAAAAAGGACACATCACTCCCAAGAAAGGGCAAGGAGCCAGAGCAGGAGATAGCCCCCTCTGCACGGGGCTTCTTGCAAAGCCACCTGGATGCCATGGGGCTGTGCGGGACCAGAGGTCACAGCACAGGGACTCTCCAGAGAGCACTGGATTTATTGCACTTGACTGGGTCCAGTAGTGCCCTTGCAGCCACGTCCCCTGAAGGAGAAGCATGTTTTTGCCTCAATAGCGCTGCCTTTCCCTTGGGTCCTGGCACCATCACAGCTCTATTTGCACCCAAAAGCCCTGCAAATTCACCCTTGTGCAGGGAGGAGGGTCCCATCTCCCTGCTGGGCAACTCAAACAAGGCACACTGAGGCTGGTACAACCACATGCACCTCCCTAAAAATAATTTACCTGGAAGACAGAAGTACTCTGTGGTGCCAGCATGGAACAAGAGGACATCAACAACAACTGCAGAAAAGAGCATCATCTTGCTGGGAAACAGAGTTACACCAAAAGTTACATGCTCTCCCCACCCAGGAAAGGTTTGTAAGAGTCGGCTGTCCCTTGGCTGGTGCACATCAGCCCTTCACCCACCTTCCTTGTCATTTGGGCAGCCTGGAGCAGCCAGGGCCAAATCCTGCTCATCTGCTGAGGGCAGGGCTGTTGCGAAGGTGTGGGGTGCTGGGTGGCCCCACACATCCCATGCGGTGATGCCGTGTGGCTGATGGGGCCGGGTGAAGGGCAGGGAGTGCACACAGGCTGCCCCATGGACCCCCAAAACCAGTCAGCGTCAATAAAATAAACTTTTCCAGGCATGTGCTTCCCTCCAATACACCTTTTTAATAGAGAGCAGATTGGTGTAAAACCAGCTCCTGCTGCACAAGGCCCCACGTCCCCAGGGAGCCACTGCTACTCGAGTGTTAGAAAGACAGAGGAGCCTCCACCTGCTGTTTGCCATTTATTTTAGCGGAGAGAAAAATAACACGCACAAGAGGCATTTTGCATAACTTAACAGAAAAAAAACACTTTTCCTGCACTCTTCACAGATCAATAGTCAAAATAATTTCCTACACATGGCTATTTTTTGGTGCTAAAAGTTTGGTGTATTGGTAAAATCTAATACACTGTGATAGTTGATCTGAAACCCAAAGCCAGGCTCAGGCTTCTGGGGCTCCTTTGCTGTTTAACACAGCTCCCATTGCCATTTGCCCATGGTGAGGGTGAACACTGGGTTCATCCCCATGGCACTCCCAGGAGGGATTTTGCAGCCCGGGTCTGGCTCAGGATGTGGAACAGCTCCATGGCTCTCACCACCCATGCCATGTCCTGGCCGCTCTTCCCTGGCACGGCTGGAGAGGTGACCCAAAATGAGGGGGGGGCATGGGCAGCTCCAGCAACCTCAGTCCAAGGCCAGTGAGGGGATCTTGCAAACGAAGGGGAAGGCTCTGCCGCAGGCGTTGTCATTCCAGGAGCGCAGCGCTACACCCCCGCCCCCCCCCCCCCCAAAACAAAACAAAACAAAACAAAACAAAACAAAACAAAACAAAACAAAACAAAAACAAACCAGGCATTAGCTGAAAAAAGGTGTGAGGAGGTAACATGCACTAACCTTGGGACTAGGACCTCCTGCCACTGTGGGGGCTTTCCCTGGCTGTCCTCCCATTTGGGCTGCTCCCAGCTATGCCTTCTCCCAGCATCTCCATCCCCATCCTGGGGATGCTGGCAGGGATGCCTGGCCCCAGCTCAAACATGGGAGCAGTGAGGCCGCTGCAAACACAGCCCCGTACTGCACAAAATATCACCAGGTCACACGTGGATGGGGCGTTTAGGTATGTCCACAGGATCTGGATACACCTGACTGGTCTCACTGGAGATGAGGGCGTGAAGTGAGATTTTTGCACAAGCGGGGTCTTGCCCTACTTCAGCAAGTGGGGCCTGAGCGAGGGAGGGAAAAGCTGGCAAACTGAGGGGTACTTCCATTGGCTGCACGTGGGAGGGAAAATTGCAAACTTTGACCATTGGCTAAATTCAGTAATTCTTCAAAGTGGGTGATGCTCCCCTCCTGCTGCCACTATGGAAGAGGGAGATGGGCTGTGAGCTGAGGGAAAGCAAGTGTTTGTGTGTGTGTGTGCGTGTGTATGTGCATGGTGAAAGAGAAAACACATCCTTTCTCTGCAAACTACAAAGAAAATAGTAATAAAAATTAAAATGCAAACCCTCAGCCTGCCAGCAACCTCTTCAGAAAAGCATAAGCCGCAGTGGATTGAATTTACTGACATGCAAATAAGACTTAAGGTGCCCTCGATGCCTGGCACGGCACTCACCGCTGCTGTGCCTGTACCAGATCTGCACACAGTCCTCCTCCTCCGGGATGGAGTGGATCCCATCATCTGGCTGACTGCCGTCCCAGTAGTGGTAGTCGTAGGAGGAGCCGTCCGTCCACTCGAAGTGACCCTCCTGGCACGGGGTGAGCGGAGAAAGGCCGCGATCACAGAGCCACGTTTGCAGAGGGTAGGGGTCCCTCTCCCACGTAGATCCCATCCCCATCCCCAGTGCCACACAGCCCGGGGTCACAGGGAGAGACTGTCACCGCTCAACAAAGGCCAAACAGCACATTTGGGTTTTACAACTGAAAACTGCCCCTGGAGAGCCCCAGCATTCACAGCATTCGCACCAGGAGAAGGCCAGAAATTAAGCCCATCTATTTTTTAATACACCCCTCCAATTCTCTGTTCCTTTTCCTTCTCCATTCCTTTCTCAAGATCTACAAAAAATTTGCTGGCATGGGACTGTTCTCCTGATGGTCTTGATTTTTCTTTGTTATATATTAGACTATATATTTCCAACATGTCAGCTTTGAAAAGTTGCAGAGTATTACAAGAAAGCAATGAAACTTCATGATTTTTGACACTGGAGATTTTTCAGTTTATTTGCTCTTCTTGGACCAGGAGTACAATACTCTTTCTATTAATCCATTAATAAAATAATATGTGAATAATTACTAATTACCAATCTATTAATTCTAGTAACACTTTTCTTTTAGAAGAAGACTGGAGGGGATAAAATTACAACTTTTCCCACATGAGCTACGCAACAGACCCTACAGCACCGCCTGATCAACGGGTCTATAAGGAGCAAAAAAAGAAAACCAAGTGGCTTTCCGGGGGAAACCACAGGTAAGTGAATTTTTCAGAGCCATTTCCAACATGATTACGGGGATCTCTCACCTGCCGCAGGTCGTTGAGCCCCGTCCAGATGTCGGTGGGGATGCCTGGCACACGGCTGTTCACCAGGTCGTACACGAAGACATTTTCTTCCCAGCTGGCAAAACAGAACAATATGGATCCACTGAGGTGGTATGTCAGGCAAATGGCCAGGCGTGCCCCTAAGCATTTGCCCTACGGCATGGCCAAATGGGTCCCACTCTTCTAATTGCCATTGATTACTTTCCTGGGTCTGTGCAAGAGGTGTGTAGTGTGAGTGAGAGCCAGGGGAGAGGGAGTGGGGGAAAAAAGCCTGTGTAATCGTGTTGTATTTCTATCCCTTTTTCAAGAGTAAAAAAATACAGTATTGGGAAATTTAGGGAATATTACATCAGTATTCCTGCCAGGCTAGAAAAAAGCATTTTTTATGTCACCTTTGTGTGCCCAGTGCATCAGACTTGACCCGATCACCACTGTAGAAGGATGCTTAGGGTGGAACAAGAGCTTGCAGCTGACACAAAGGTTGTGCTGTGGGACTGGGACTTCATCCCCATTTTCCTTCTTCCCCAGACCATGCCAGGATGGGATGACATATTTCTGTGCCCCTCACCTGTGGATGGAGGCCAGCTTGGCTGATCTAATGCCAATGGAGAACTCAGCACAATAGAGGTCGGCTTCAGCCCAGGTTTTGTTGATGGGGAAGTACCGGTAGCAATGGCCTTCGTACTCTGTCCAGAAGAGTGGGCAGGAGTAGGCGTGGACGGGCTCCGGCATGGCTGGGGGCAGAGCAGAGGACATCCAGCAGCTGAAGGTGAAGCCCTGTGGCTGGGCAGCCGATCAGGCAGTGGAGGCAGCAGTGCCCAGCCCTGCTCCCCCCACCTCACCCAGGAAAATAACCACCAAACACATGCATGGAAAAACTGACTGTTGCAGAAGCCATGCAAAAGTTTGCAAAAGCCAAAATAAATTTGCAGAAGCCGTGGGTTTCTTGGTTTTAGCATCTGCCTAAATCAGGAGGGACATTTCAAGCCAGCTTGACATCGTTTTAGGCAGAGGATGCTTAAAATAAAGACATGGACATTTGCTACTGAGGAAACCAAGATAAGGGCTCCTCTTGCCTCTATCAGGTACTACCAGAGCCGCCGTGCTAGGATGGGAGCTGACAGCCAGGGGCTGCAGGGTTATGGCCACACTCTGCCCTCCTGCTCTCACTTCCTGCAAGGCCAACTTGCACCTCCTCCCTCCAAGCAAACCCCCTCACTATCCCATGTCCCTGGGCCAGGACACAGCTGTGCACGTACACACGTGTTGGATTTCGGCCCCATAAATAGCCGGACGAGGCACGCGTGCCGCCGGGAATGGTGCCAGCCTATCTCTCTGCCTCCCACTGCCAGATAAGAGCTGTGGCCCACGGAGCTGCTCCTCCTCCCCCGCCACTTTTCAGCACAGCAGGGAAGTTACCCCAAAAGAGGCCATTTTAGGGGCAGGATGCATTTCTGGAGTCTTTGCAATCGCCGCTGTGTAAACACTGCAGCAGTGTTAACACATCCCTCTGACCTCCTCCCATCACACGGGGAGGATGCAGCACACACACAACACACCACCCAACACGAACACACACGCAACCTCCAGATCTTGTGGCACATAAGCTTAACTCTCTTAGGTGGTGGGTTTTGAGCTTTGGGGAATTGCCAGCGCCCCCCCCCCGAGCCAGTTCCTGCATCTCCATGAAGTCCTGGTCCAGGGTCAGTGCTGCTGTCAGAGGGACCGGGGGCAGAAGGGGTTTATGGCAGACGTCAGATGCCATGAAACTATCCAAGCAGGTAACTGGCTCAAGCCCGGAGAGGTCAGGGTGGAGCTACAGGGCCTCTGGTACACCTGGGCTGGAGGGGACAACCTTGGGGCTGGAGGGGAATGGTTTTCCCAGAGGGTAGGGAGAGCAAAACCCTGCCAGCAACCGTGTGGGATGCAGGAGCGGTGAGGGCAGCATCGGTGTGGGGAAAAGAAGCGAGGTGAATTCAAAGCAGCTGCAGGAGTGTTCATGGAGCCGAATCCTTCCCTGTGCCACCGCAGGCAGCTCCGAGCGATAATTTCATATCTCATCAGCTTTTTCCACATGGGGATCTCTGTTTTACAAACAGCCTCCAGCCAGCCCCTGGGTCCCTCCTGTCACACACCCCCTTCCAAGGCAACGAACCACAAACGCAAAGAGCCTGTTTTCCCTCCTGAGCAAGGCACGGAGGCCAAGCCTACTGCCAAGCCCTGCGGGGCTGTCACCCCATCACCTCACCTTGGGACCCCCAGTCAACCCCTCCGGAGGAACTGGCTGGGAGCAGCTCTGCACCCACAGCAACAAACCTGCTGAGAGCAGCAAAGGGCTGAGAGGCTCTCTCATTCTTATCAGCACTAGTTACTGGCTGTGGAGGAAAAAAGATAAGGCACCCCAGGCTGGAAAGGAGCAGGATAGCTTTAGGGGAAGGTGCCCAAGCTGCAGCCAGCTCAGTGGCAATGCGTGGTTCAGCTCTCTGATTCACACCCAGCCATCCTCGCATCGGGAAAAACCTTAGAACAGCCCTAGAAAATGCAAATCATTCTATTGTAGCAATAGAACAGAAGGACCAGGAACACAGACAGTTGATGTGATTTCCTGAGAACAAAGCCCTCCTCCCTCTGTGATGCTGGCCAGGGTCCCTGTCCCCACAAAAAGCGAAGCAGAGCAAAGGCAGACGGTCAAACCCACGGGAGGAGGTTTCAGCTTCACCACTGGGTCATGGATGAGGCATGTCCCCCCCATTCAGAACAGGGCTGGGATATCCTCCCAGCTCACAGCAATTCCAGACTGCTGCTCCCTCCTGCCAAGGGCACCGCAAGGGACTGCAGCAGACAGGCACCCCCAGCAACTGAGATTTTATTATAGAGGCTGTGAAGCACCTCAACACACTCTTCACCTCTAGCAGCATGGTGACAAAATTCACAGGACTTAACCCAGCAGCATCCCTGGCAAAGGGGGCCCTTCGCTCCCAAGTGCTAATTGCAGTGGGCGTCCTGGTGCCCTGGCTCCAAGCTGGGTCCTACTAGCACCCCAATCGTCTGGGAAAATCACCCTCATTTTGTTCAGAGCAGCCAAAACCAAGTCAGAGATGGAGACAGTCGTTCTTTGTTATTCCATACTGCTTCCCATTAGGCAGAATTAATTTGACGAGCTTCAGTGAACCAGAGGTGCCTGAAGGAATTTAAGGTTAAACATACCGAAGAGGAAAATATGGGAGGTCAGCATTTAATTAGCATCTTTTCTGTTAGGTCAGGATCAGAGGCTTTGCCTGTCTCTTTGGAGGAGAACTACTGCTCCCAGTTTTACAGGCAGGAACAACTGTGGGTGCTGCTTTATCTAAGGTTTTCAGGGGCTATTTTTAGCAGAAAAGCCATAAGAAATCAGATGTATGCTTGTGAGTATAGGAACCCACTCATGGCTCCGCAGGAAAACTTCATAACCCAAGCCAGCAGCTGCTGATGGTATTTGATCTAAAAGGGGACAGGAGAAGCATTTTGGGGTTATTTAGACTAGATCTTCACTTTTAAGCACTCCAGCAAAACATCAACCCAGCAGGTCCTGCACACAGGGCAGAAACAGCACAGTCACTGTCTGTGCAAAAGGGGCTCCTGCCAACCCCAAGTCAGTTCACCCATTTATCCCCAAATTCCTGGTGAAAAATGATGGCAAGAATCCTTCCTCCTTTTTCTCATTTACAGTGCGGCAGATTTGTCAGGGCCATATTTTAACACAGCACCAGCAAAATAGATGTCCAGACTTGATTGAGGGTAGGATTCATATCAGGTAGCTGTTACTAACTCAGAAAATCTGATTTGTGTCAGTGCCAACAAAACTGGAGCCTTTTTACTTATTTACTAGCTGAGACCCACTGCAGAACCACCAGGAAAATCACTTGTCAAAATCTTGCAGAAGCTGGCATTGCTCTGCCAAAAAGTTTCACTTTCCCAAGTGGCCACTTTCCAATTAGAAATAATTAACTGAGAAAATCCCAGCCAGTTTCATGAGGTTTTCTTATCCCAATATGCTACTGAAAAAGATAAAATACCAACTGTGTGACTCCCACTGACTCAGCTAGTGAAAAGCATGTTTTTTCCTGAACAGCTTCATCCTAAATTGCAATGCTGCCTCACCTCCAGCGATCTGCAGATTTGTGATACAAAGTTTGGGGCTAAGACAAGGTTGACAGGAGATGCCCATGTAAGGAAGACTCCCGGGGGCTGCAGCTCCATCAGAGGGTTTTGGACAGCAGATCAGATCAGGTCAGTGCTGGAAGCAGATGCTCTTCTTGCTGCAGAGCACTGAAGAGCTCCGTTTTATCAACAGCTGACAACTTACCAAAAAGCTCAGAGACATTAGGAGACACCTCACTGAATTGCATGGTCTTGAAAGACCCCCCCTTGACACATCCATAGCCAAATGCGGCTGTCTGACCTGAAAAAGCTGGTGAACCTCTTCAGCTCTTGGCAAGCAGCTGGGTTTGGAGGGTGTCCATCAAAGCCCAAGAGGCTTGTCCGAAGTTAATGCCAACCGAGAAGAGCTGAGGAGATCCCTGTCACATGGCAGGCTGGGTCCTTCCCAGTGCAGAGCTGCCCACAGAGCCTCTCTGCTGGTACCCGAGCGCTGTGATGCCGAGAGGGAGGGATGGGGAGCGCTGCCCAGCTGGCGGTCAGAGCTGGGGCTCAGGATGAGCATCCTGGTGCTCAGCAACACCGAGTCACCTCTCACCAGCTTGGGACCATGGGGAGAGCCAGCAGCACGGCTTTACCCTGTGTTGGCACTGCTGGAGCAGTGGGCAGTTACAGGGGATGTGTGAGACAACAGGGTTGGGACAGGGGACCCCCAGGGTGACTTTGGCAGAAGCAGCCTATGGCAAGGCTAGGCGGGTTCAAAGTGCCAGCTGAGCCAGACCTCCATCCCACCACAGCCCCAACACAGCCATCAGCCCACATCCTCCTTATCGAATAAAACCAAAAAATAAGCATTAAATCAGGGGTTTGGTGGGCAGGAGCATGTGGCAGGGTCTAAGACAGTGCTTTTGTGTGATGCTCGGATGCCTCAGGTCTCCCATGGCTTTAGGAGCACATCCTTAAGTCCCTACACTGCAGCCATTATGGACAAACAATCCCATCTCCATGTTATTTGAAATATTTGTCTTCTATTAACAGATGAAAAAGTTTCATTCTTAGCATTCACCTTCAACACAAGTAGATCAGGGGAGGGTTTTTGGTCTCCATGTGTCTGGGGGGTGTATGGAGCTGGAGGGGACAGTACCCATTGATGGACATGAAGCTCATTTAATAACTGCAATATTTTAGACACTCTGAAGTGTTTTTTAAGGTGTATATTACAAATTTCCAAGTAAAACATTAAACACCAGTTGAAGCACATTGGAAGCTACATCTGTTCACACAGAGGGCTTTGCTTTTCAAAATTCTGTAATGAAACCAAGCTCATTTTACAGCTTCAAATCTTCTGCCAGGTATGTTTGGAGACGTGAGGCTATGGCAGATGCCGGCAGCAGCCCTCCTGCAGCCGGCACTAACAGATAGGAGTTATCTTGCACAGTTTTTTTCCTCCTTAATTAGTCTGGGAGAAGCTCCCACAGATTAGGCATCTGGCAGGAAAGCCAGGCTCATATCGATCCTTTTTCTCACAAACGCACTGAACAGCACTTAACAAGTCCCTTTCTGCTCACATTCCCATGTAAATATAACAGGGTGTGAACAAACTAAGAGTAGCAACTCTCACTTGCACCAGCCCCATGAAAAGGTTTGCAAGAAACTTAAGTGACATATAGCAGCCAACATCACCAACAACTCAGGAAAAAAAAAAACAACGGGGGGGGAATAAAGGGGAATCATATATCTGTGGTTACTTTTCACATGCAGTAAGTGTGAATGAATAAAGAGGGAGTCACGGTGGCCCCCCAGCCTGTCCCGCCAGGCTGCACGGCTGCGGTCCTGCACCACTCACACGTGTGCCTCCATGCAGTTATTTCTGCCCACTGCCCCTGCCTTCCATGCTGGACCCATGGCAGAGACAGCTGAAGGTCCACAGCACCGTGTCACACGAGCACACGTTGCTGAAGGCAAAAGAGCAGCCTCTCACACACAGAAACAAAGCCAGCCCAGAGATCGCTTCAGTATCCCAGGAGAGAGAGACTGGGGCTGCTCATGGCATGTCCCCCCATTGAAGAAGAAAGTTGATTTCAAGGAAAGTCAGAGATTTCTGGAGCATTTGGAGAAAGGAGGAAGCCAGCTGCAGACCCTGCGGGAGGTACGCACGCTCCTCTCCCCGCTCAAGCCATTGCAGTTTAAGGCTACCTTTACCCCACGCCGCAATCAACGCTTTGCACTCACCTTGGCTGATCTTTATGTTTGTCTGGGGGAAAGCCTGAGTGGCAAGCAGTGCTGTGGAGAGGAGCACGCACACGTCCCAGCCAGTGCCCATCGCCAGGGAGGGAGGACTGGGCGCTCCCCCAGCTCCGCAGGCAGCTGGTTGCAGGGGTCACTGCTCGGTCCGGGACCTCCCAGCTGTGCCAGGGAGGCTGCCGGCGCAGCGGTGGATATAGGCGCTGTGCTGCTCCCTCCCCCAAAAGCAGCGGCTCTCCCAGCCACACACACCTCCCCACCCGCCGCCGGCTGAGCCCGGGCGTGCTTGTTTCATCCCACCCCGAGGGACCTGTGCTCAGACCTTTGCCCACAGCCTGGCTCTGGGGGTGCACATCTCCTCCCAGAGAGCCTTTATCACATGCCAGTCGCTGCAGGCGAGCAAGGAAATCCCTTATCTGACTCCCCCCCTCCCCAAGACATTATTTTGTGACCCCAGTTTAGCACTGCCCAGCTGTGCTGCGCTGGCCGCCTTGTCCCGCAGGGATGTGGTGGGCACCAGCAGCCAGGCGCAGAGCGGAGCTTGGGGCAGACCTTCACCTTGGGGTGCCTGAAAAATGTGCCCCTTTGGCCTTCTGTGCCAGGCCAACAGCCCTTCGAACACCAGGTAGAGTGAGCAGCCGGCCGGCCAGGGCTGTGTTAAGGCAGGGGTCCCCAGGGCTGCAGGGAAAGCACTGCCTTGTGCCAGGCTTCCTGCAGGCTGTAATTGTGGGGTTTAACCCATTACTGCCCCATTTTGTGCATGCTTTTTTGGTTTTTGTTGTTTGGTTTTATTAAAAAAAAAAAAAAAAAACCAACAGAGAAAGGCAATACTTTGACACACTAAAACAGCCGTGAAGGGGAAACCACCAGCTGTGCCAGGGGGCCCAAGGCTGTTTCAGGAACTCACACTATGCCCATCTGCCCGGTCTGTGCCAGGTCCATGCAGTCTGTAACAGCAGAAAACTTTCAGCATCAGACAGAAGTCAATATTATTAACAGTCAGTATTATCTAGCACATCTCCTTTCTGTGGTCAAAATTTTTTTGGGGAATAAACTTCAGATTCTTAAAAATACTGTATAAAGTCCTTTCCTAACCATTGCCCTGGTAAGAGAAACAGCATAGGTACAAATACTATGAAGTTTTGTGGTCCTGCTTCATTTCCAATTTATGCCTTAAATCAGCACTGAATGAACTTCTTAGGAACGCAATCAATGCTATTCCCTTTCTGTTTTTAGCTACAAATTAAAATTTTCATCATTTTCTGGGACTTCAGTTGGGATGACCCATTTTTACAGGCAAGATTCAAGTAGAAACTATTTGGGGTGACACAAAGCTTTCAGTAAAGCATCCAGATGTACTCCAGAGACAGCACTCATTCAATCAACTTTCATATATTATGTTTTCTTTGCATTAAATAAAACCTTTTAAGAAAACTTCCCCCTTGCCCCCGTTTGCAGATCCATACAGCGATCTGAAACTATGTGGCTCAAGAATAAGCCTATTGATACATCAGACAACTAAAAATTAAGGAATTTAGAGTATTAGAAGCCAAGACAAGACTTCTCCCTTCTCAACTGTGTGCTATCCTCAGATAAAGCCAGCGTTGCAAGCAATTATCAGCAAACTGTGGAACAAAACTCTTTCAGCATTATTAACCTACTCCCAAAGCACAAATGTAGATGTTTAAAAGAGGGAGCGGAGATCCAGAATAGCTTTAATCCTGTTTCCAACACCAGACCCACTGTAGCAGCATCACCCCAGCACAAGCAAGAGCATTGAGTCCCCCCGTGCTGCCTCCGAGCCAGCAGCCCCGTGCCCAGTATAGCAGCTGGGCACCAGCCTTGCTCCCAGCACTGGGAAAGTACACGCATGACCTGCACGTGGAGCCGGCTGGAGCTGCAGCTGCACTTTGGGCTACCTTCTGATTTCACAAAAAATGAGATGTTTTACCTGCTGGATGCAGCCCCAGGAGCACAGCCACAGATGACTCGTTTCTTCAGCCCTTCTGCTCCTCTCCCTCCCCACGCTGTTTCGATTGCCCTCCAGGTCGGGAGCTCCTCGGTGTGCTTCCATCCCACTTTTATTGACCTTTCTTCAGGGTTCCCTCACCAATTTTTGGCATCATCTGTATAACACCCTCTTTCCTGTGAAACAGATACCTCATGGCTCCAAGGATAGACTCATGGGCAAGAGTGCCTTCTGTTAACAATGGAGAAAAGCACATGGCAGGTCTCAGGTCAGCTCCTGTGGATGCCCAGAGCTTCTTCACCCGACCAGAGACCACACTTGGAAGAATATTAATGTCAATGGTAATGACTGCTGAAACCACAGCCCCTTGTCTGAGCCTTTTGACTTACAGGAAAAGACTGGCCTCTTATAGCATGTGTTTGCCCAGGATACCCCGTGGGCTCCCTCTCCACCTTGATTTATTGATGAGACAAACCAAGAGGAAGCCAGAGAACAGAGATTTGCTATTGACTTCGCTGCGGGACACAGGAGGAATCTCACCGTGCAGAGAGGCAGGCTAGAACTGAAACCCACCATCTACAACACGCTCGGAAGGAGGATGCCCATGGGCAGCCCTGCGGTAACCGCCATCCCTGTCGCTTTGTGCTGCGAACGTACAGCAGCCGCGCTGGAGGGCAGCGGGAGCCACGCGTGGTGGTCACTAAGAAGCAGCGGTGCTCACCGGGGGACAGCGTGCATGGCCACACAGCAAGGTAAGCTCCTACCTGTGTTCACCCCCAGCCACAGCAACTGGGAAGTGGTTCAGCAACAAGGTCACCAAGGCCTTTTTTGTCATCCTCTACCCAAGGACATGCTGTGCTCTGCCCAGGAGCAGGGTGTCTGCACCAGCCGCTGGGAGATGGCTTCTGGATGCAGAGGGGAGACAACGTATCTTGTAGCCTGCTTGTATTCGTTGCATTTCCTCCTCCACGATGGCAGGGTCACTGTATCAGACTTGGCTGTCGCATGAAGAGCATACACAGGGATGCTCTGAGCGTAGAAGGGAATGAAACACCCACAACTCGACGTAGACTGGAGCAGGTCCCAGGGCAAAGGCATGCTGCAGGGATGCTGGTATCAGGTACAACACAGACCTCCACACTGGAGCACAAACACCCTTGACAGCAGCAAGGACTATTGACCAACACACTGATATCTGCCCAAACAAGCACTGAGCTTTTTTTTTTTTCCACTTTTTAAGATTCACCTGTCCCTAACTGTAGCAGCCAAACAAACAGGGGTGAAACAGGCATATATATGTATTGTTTTCTTTTTAAAAAATCAAAATATTAGAAGCACAGGAGGTAACAGGATTTCATTCCAGGCTGCATTTGATGAACAGAGGGGAGGGAGATAACCACTGCCTGCCATGCCACATGCCAGCTCTAGACTGTCATTGCTCTGACCTCCAGTTTCAAAGGTCGAAGGGCCACAAACAAAGGCAAAGCTTCCTACACCACCCAGCCCCAAGTCCCTGACCAAAACACCACCTTTATTTTGCTCAAGGCAACTCTCCTGCTTCTATCAAAAAGGGACTGAGCCAGGGCAGGCGGAGAGCACGCTGGCTTGCACCTCTCCTGAGCAGCCAGTGGGGACCCCGGGGACCAGCATGGGCGCAGGAAGGCTCTGCACGGCGGGGCGCGTGGAGGGGGAACAGGCCACAGGCATGGGCCACGGGCTACTGCCCAGCAATTTCATCCCCGAGAGCAGGATATGGGCAGGGGCCAGGGCCCTTCCCCACCTCCTGTCTGATCACAGTAGCACTGATGTGCCAACAGAGCCGACCTGCCCATAACACTCTGAGGATTTCCAGCCCGACACAGATAAACACTGCTGAAGGCAGAACAGACTCTTCCCTCTCCAAAACAAAGACATGGAAAGACAATAAAGCCATGGGCCAGGCCCAGCTCTCTTCAGGGTAATGTCCTTTCTGTATGATTTCTTGAATGGGCTGAAAGCAAGATACAGATTTTTATGCAGTCCCAATGTTGATAAATTGAGCAATACAAATTAATAATAATTTGGGGCCCACTCCTGCAAAGAACCAAGACCCAGATGCTGGTGCAGAGACTTCAAGAGGCCGAACACGCAGTGTGCTGGGTGTGCTCTGGCTGGGAACCACGCGTGGCCAGACCAACACATCTGGCTTGCTCTCTTGACCGATATCTGTCTGCAGGTCCCCAGTTTCTCTCAACTTGCTCCTGGTTCATCTGCAGTGAGTAACAAGGGGGTAAATACCAACATTTTGACTTTTTTTGTGCCATACACGTAACTGATGAAGCTCGACACAAAGATGAATTCTGCTAACAAGTATCACCCCAGTCTACATGGCACAATTAAATATAATTTTATTTTCAATAAATATACAATCTGCATCATACCAAGACAATATGCTGTGAAAAAGTAAAACGTACAGAAGCAACCGACAGGACAGCTTGACTGTAGCTAAGTTCATTTGGTGACCAGGAGAACTACCTGGGTTAACACACACAGCACAGAAAGAAACACCGCAGTCTGTGAGAGAATTAAAATTGTGTATTTTGAGTCTTCTTAACCGCAAAAGTCCCTGCAGCAGGCTTCTTTTTGCACAACGCAGGTTTGAAAAGACACGAGCTGGCTTTTCTGGTACAAATGATATTGAAAATGTTTACTTTGCTATATCATCACGGTATCTACTTGACACACACAGACTGCTATCGAGAGTGGCAGGTCTCACCACTGACGTGACATCGGATCCATTTGACACAGGGTCGCATGGCCACACATGTGCCTGGGCACACAAATGCACACGTACATACTAACAGGAGCTTAATTCTGTTAAAACTAGTACAAGGACAAAACTGGAGTCAGAACCGATTTCATCACGCGTTCTACTGTTTAAAAAAATATTCTAGCCTAATAACCACGTTCACCAACAAGAGCACATGGGTACTTATATCTCCAAGAGGATGAGCCATGGATTTGGACTGGAGGGACAGCAAAGGCAACTCCCAACTCCTCCACCCGCTCAGCGCTTCCCGCGGCACCTCCACGTGCAGCCCACGCCACCCGGCCACGCACTCCGCCATGCAGGATGCGAACAGCGAGCAGTCCGGCCAGCCGGGCCACTGGTGGCCCCAGGAAAATGGCCAGGACCTGGTGGGACACGGTTCGCAGAGGCCAGCGTGGCCAGTTGGGTGCCGGCAGCCACTTCAATCCAACAGAGCTCCTGTGGGGTGCATGTAGGGTGTGAGGTGGGGTGTTTCGGTTGGTGGTTTAGTTTTTTTTCCCTTGTCCACCTACTTGGTCTGGCTGCTGTTAG